AACCCCAGGGTGGTCAAGCAACAGAAAGTGGTAAGAACAAAGCTTGGAGTTTATTGGAAGTCCAACCGTAAGGCATGGGTGACAAGACAGTTCTTTAATGAATGGGCTGTTGATGTGTTTTGCCCCTCTGTCAAGAGCTACCTAACCACCAATAAACTTCCTTTAAAGGCTCTTCTCCTCATGGATAATGCTCCTGGTCATGACCCTGACCTTGCCAGCAATTTGGAGTATCAATTTGACTTTGTGAAAGTGTTGTTTTTGCCTCCAAACACTACATAACTCATACAGCCAATGGACCAGAATGTAATCAGCAACTTCAAGAAGTTGTACATGAAGAAAATGTTTAGGAGGTGTCATCAGGCAACTTCCACTGATCCTGAACTAACACTGAAACAGTTCTGGAAGACACAATTCAACGTCCTGGAGGCTGTAAAATTGATTGTGTCATCATGGCAAGAAGTCTCCAATAGAACCCTCATTTCTTCATGGAAAGCACTGTGGCCATCAGTAGTCCATGATTTTGAGGGATTTGAGGAAGAAACAGAGTTGGACCAGGAGATTGTGTCCATTGGTCAGTCATTGGGCCTTGAAGTGGAGGAGAAGGATGTGGAAGAGCTTGTGATGTCTCATGAGGAGGAACTTACTCCTGATGACTTGAAGCAACTGGATGAGATGTTACGGGTAGAGGCTGACAGTGGTGAGGAGGAAATTGAAAGTGATGACCATATGTCAGCTAAACAGTTGAAAGATGTGATTTATACTGGGAGAAGTTCAGGGAACTGGCTTCAAAGCACCCAGAAGTGGAAAAAACTGAACTAACTTTGTGTCATGTTGAGGACTCAGTGGTCTCCTTCTTTAAACATAAGTTAATGGTGAGGAGGACAGGTGCCCCACAGACCACAATTGACACTTTCTTCAGTAAAAGGCAGAGGGAACAAGATGCTAGCTCTCAGCCTTCCACTTCAAGAAGGAGAGAGGATGATGCTAGTCCTCAGCCTTCCACTTCAAGGAGAGAGGATGTTCATGGTGGAGAATCTGTCAGTCCAGAGGTTCCTGACATTTTCATGGAAGGTGACTCACCTTCCAAGAAGCAGTAAAATGCTTCTCCTCCACCTCCACTTCCTTCTCTTCTCCCTTCTCCTCCTCCACCTCCCACTTCAAATGCACATCATCATCATCATCCAGGAGCCTTCTACATACACACCTCAAAGTAAGTAAATTTTTCTGCCATTTTTGTTGAAGTTAGGAAATTTTCGGTGACCTGGAACCAATTACCCAAAAACCCATTGAAACAATGGTTTCGGTTAACGAACTTTTCGGTTAACGAACGACCTTCTGGAACGGATTGAGTTTGTTAATGGAGGGGTCACTGTATACAGTATTAACCCACTTTACGCGGTTTCACTTTACGCGATTTCTCATATACGCGGTGCCTCGCCAGAACCGAACTTTCACTTTCCGCGGTTCATCTACCCATATACGCGTGAAGTTTTATTTTTTTTTTATTTGGCTCATAAAATTCATACAAATTACCCGGCCAGAATATAATTTACATTGCTGGAATTCTTACAATTTGATGATCATTTTGAATATAAACATCATAGATTTTGCATTAGACATACAAATTTTAGATCTAATGTTTACTCTGAGTAAATATGTTATCTTTTGTGCAAAATATGACATTTATATTCAAAATATTCCTGGTCTTACAAGGAATCCAGCAATGTAAATTATATTATCCTAACTTTAGTTTGAGGTATTATTTATTACTAAAAGTTAAAATTAGTTTTTCACCCAACATTCCTCTGGTAGGGATGGAAGGTGGGGGTTGGGGGGGAGGGTTGGGACCGACCGACCATGTGGCGCGGTTGGAAGAGGGGGGGGGAGGCAAGTTGGGGTACTTTGATTGACAGATAGTGTCTTGAAGAATATTTTTTTTTTATTAACTGAAGATATTTGTTTTAGCTCATAAAATTCATACAAATTACCCGGCCAGAATATAATTTACATTGCTGGAATTTCTTACAATTTGATGATCATTGAATATAAACACTATAGATTTTGCATTAGACATACACAAATTTAGATTCAATGTTTACTCTGAATAAATATGTTATCTTTTGTGCAAAATATATGACATTTATATTAAAAATATTCCTGGTCTTACAAGGAATCCAGCAATGTCAATTATATTATCCTAACTTCTAAGTGCTTAATTTTTGTTTAAACGACTGTACAGGTAGTCATTTTCTGTTAAACTTATACAGCAAATATAACCATCAGTTTTCCGGCATTTTCGAAAATCCGGCACTCCTCAGGTCCCGAGGTTGCCGGATTTTTGATAGGCCACCTGTGTATATATATATATATATATATATATATATATATATATATATATATATATATATATATATATATATATATATATATATATATATATATATATATATATATATATATATATATACACACAGTTAACCCTCACTTTACGCGGTTAATGTAACCCGGAGGGTACCGCGGAAAGTGAGGAACGCGTAAAGTGAATAACATAACATATGGGATTAATTGAAATAGAGTCCAGGCCGACCCCCAAACTCCACTTTTTGACGACACACAACTATGTTGTAGTAAAAATATTATCTTAACTTTATGATGGCATGCACACACAATTAATAATTATGAGAAATATCAATAATATTAGGTTTTTTAACACTTACATTAGTAGAAAAGATGGCTGGGCACACGGGGATGGGGGGTTGGTTCCGAGGCAGAGGGCAGACTATTGGCCCTCACCTGTATCACTGGTATCAATTGTATCAATATCCACCACAGAGGCTTGCAGGGCCTCTTTGTTAAACCCCTCAAAGTCCATATAAGTCCATATCCTCACTATAATTATCACTATCACTGACTTGGGCCGGTTGTGGTGGGTGGCGGGTAAAGAACTCGGTAATGTTTTGATGACTGGGCGGCCTTGTGCGCACCATTTTCGCGCCTCTTACACAACATGGCGGATGGCGGGAGGTTTGGATCCAAAAATGGCGAGGCTTGCCAGCCGCTCTCTGCGTAATGGGGTTCACGACTGCAGAATGTGAGCATGTTAGGTTCTGGCAAGGCACCGCGTTAACGGTGAAACGCGGAATGCGGGACCGCGTAATGTGAGGATTGACTGTGTATATATATATATATATATATATATATATATATATATATATATATATATAGCAGTGGGTTCTCTAAGTTAACTAACTCAACTGCTCCAGAAGGTCGCTCGTTAAACCAAACGTTTTGCTAACCGTAAAAACCATTGTTTCAATGGGTTTTGCAATTGGCTCTGAGCTTCACCTAAAATTTCCTAAATTCAACAAAAATGGTAGAAAAGTTCACTTACTTTGAGGTGTGTATGTAGAAGGCTCCTGGATGATGATGATGATGATGGGATTTAGAATGGGGGTGGAGGAGAAGGAAGAAGAGAAGGCATTGGGGTGGAGGAGAAGGAAGAAGAGAAGGCATTGGGGTGGAAGAGAAGTCACCCCATGGTGCCATTTCACCCATAAAATTTTAGCTCTGGTTTAATTCAAGATTATTTTCTTTAAATCAACGCTGCACTGCATTATATATTGTCAATATATAAAATATATTTCAAAATGACCAATAATTTGCTTGGAAACAGAAAAAAAGCGTTTAGTTGAAGAGTCTCAAGCAAGATGTTACCTCCAGTGAAAACAGAGAGAGACTGACGCCTGTTTGCTGTGTTAAGAGGCTGGATGCCGCGCATTAAACTAGTCACTTTACCTTCAATTTTGTTCAATAATTGTTAAAATGACTAAAAAATTGAATATTAAACTTTTAAAATTATTGAATAGTATAAACTTTTTGATATTTACAAAAATAGTAAGGAATTTAAGCCCTAGAACCGATTAATGTATTGGCGGACTGATACTAAAGCTGGTTGCCCGGTCAGTGCAAGCGAAAACATGTTGAGGTCGGTTCGTAAGAAGTTCGTTAAGCAAAATTTTTTTCGTTAAACGAATTGAAGATCCTTATGGAAGGCAGTTCGTTAATCAAAATTACGTTAACCGAGGTGTTCGTTAAACGAGGGGTCACTGTATATATATATATATATATATATATATATATATATATATATATATATATATATATATATATATATATATATATATATATATATATATATATATATATATATATATATATATATATATATATATATATATATATATATATATATATATATATATATATATATATATATATATATATATATATATATATATATATATATATATATATATATATATATATATATATATATATATATATATATATATATATAATTTTTTTTTTTATCTACTTTGCATCACTACTCTTAACCCATTCAATGCAGCTGGTCTGAATTTCAAGCATACCCTCAGTGAAGCACTTTTCACATACAACTGGTTTTTATTCCATACTAGTATGACACACCTGCAGTCAATTTCCAGAGATGGACTATTCCATTTGTGGCATGTCCGCAGTGAATGGCTTAAATTCATCTTTGCCATCTCCTGAAACATCATTTCTATTAAACTAAATCAGGGAGAATGAGTCTGCCATCTACTGTATAACTACTACTTAATGGTAGAATGTAACATATCTTCTTCCTGGAAATATAAACCACTCAATCTCAAATTCCAAGAAACTTATTCTGTCAATAAATGGATGTACAATCACAAGCAAAAGTTCATGCCCTCCCAAACTGAAGCAGTATCAACCCAATATAAGATAAAACAGCACATGTGCACCAGATAAAAGCCAGGGTAAGTCAGTTCAGAGACTCATTCCTGTGACTCACTCTCACCACAGGCAATATGGTGAGAGTGTTGTGTTCTTGACTGTACATATATAAACAGATAATGCATGAGGCTATTTATATGAAGAAAAAATTTCAAAAAATAAATAAGCATTTCACTGAACTCTTAAACATCTTAAAACCTTACAGGGACAAGAGTATTTGCTCTTCCAGCTTCCTGAGCCCAGTCTGCCGTCAGTGTACCTTCCACCTCTTTGTTCTTAAAGTAGATAGCTTCAGGAGGTATTAAACGACCTTCCAGTGGTATTACATTATCTTCCAGAGTCAAACCCCAGTCCGACAGGACTTTACAAGCCTCTGCATTATCTGTAAGAAGGCATAGTACAATACAATAATGAAAGTTATAAGTACAGCTGTATGCTGATACTGTACTGTACTCATTCACAAAAATATCTATGAAGCTATTGAAAGGAGTTGGGAAAATAATGGAATACAAGTACTATAAAGATACAGTAGCACCTCTCTAGTTCAGACCATCTACAACTCTGAGCCTCTACTGGTTCGAGTGCAAAATTGTGAATTGAGAAAAATATCTACTTAACCCTTAAAGTGACATCCAAATCACCTGACACTGCAGAATTCACTGCTAATTGTACCAATTTACATTCTATGTTTCCCTGCCATCACCCTGAATGGTGGATTGTAATAAGCTGGGTAGCACCGAGTTGGTTTCTCTTTCCCCTCTCAGTCAGTGCTTTGTTTTACATTATGCAAGACACATGTCTGTCAATCTTTACAGTGTACTGTAGGTCCCAAGTGTAACAGTCCCATATACCATGCACCATCAAAATGGCACAAAATTTTAGAATGTGATGTAGGAGAATGAGTTTCAGGGAGTTTCATACCCTTACAAAAATGGCTAAAAGTGGTCAGTGTATGAACTACTGTACAGTACATATAAAAATGCATATATTTTACAAGAAAATTGTCATATAATTTTATTGTGTCCATCACAATTTTCATAAAAAAAGTACAGTAGTACCCCGATATACGCGGTCAATTGAACCCACAGGGTACCGCGGAAAGTGAACAACAGAACATATGGGATTAATTCCAATAGAGACTGGCCAGACCCCCAAACTCCACTTTTTCCGACACAATACCTATGTTATACCTATGTTGTAGTAAAAATAACACCTAAATTTTATGATGGAATGCTCACACAATTAATATTTAAGAGAAATACAGTCGCTAGGTTAATGTCCATTCAAATAATGGACTCAAATCCCCCCCCCCACCCCTACCCCCCCTCTTCCCAGCTCACTAGCTCCTATCTCTCTGAGAAATGTTTGGGTGAAAAAACTAGATTTTAACCTTTAATAATAAATAATACCTCAGACTAAAGTTAGGATAATATAATTGACATTTCTGGATTCCTTGCAGGTCAGGGAATATTTTGAATGCAAACTTCATATATTTTGCACAAAAGATAAAATATTTACTTTGTGTAAACCAAATTATTACATTAGATCTAAAAATTGTATGTCTAATGCAAAATCCATGATGTTTATATTCAAAATGATCATCATATTGTAAGAATTCCAGCAATGTAAATTATATTCTGGCCGGGTAATTTGTATGAATTTTATGAGCTAAACAAATATCTTCAGTAAATAAACAAAGAAATATTCTTCAAGGACACTATCTGTCAATCAAAATACCCCACCTCCGCCCTCCCTCCCTTCCTACCCCCCACCCTCCCTCCCTACCAGAGAAGCGATTGGGAGAAAATAGTATATTTACATTTTTAGTAATAAATAATAACCCAGACTAAAGTTAGGATAATATAATTGACATTTCTAGATTCCTTGCAGGTCAGGGAATATTTTGAATGTAAACTTCATATATTTTGCACAAACGATAAAATATTTGCTTTGTGTAAACCAAATTATTACATGAGATCTAAAATTTGTATGTCTAATGCAAAATCCATGATGTTTATATTCAAAATGATCATCATATTGTAAGAATTCCAGCAATGTAAATTATATTCTGGCAGGGTAATTTGTATGAATTTTATGAGCTAAATAAAAAAGAATAAAAAAAAAATTATACTTCACCACATACTGTATATGAGTACAGTGAGTTCTGCTATAACGCGTGTTTTGATAACGCGAATTTGCTCTAACGCGATTTATGAATTAGGAACGATATTTGTATAACGCGAACGCTTGTTTGCTATAACGCGATTTTTGCTTACTATCAAGAAGCGTTCTGGTGATAGAATTCCCGTTGATGATCGTAAAAGAAAGGATATAACACTTAAGAGAAGCTTGATTTTATCAACCTCAAAATCACCCTTCTCCCCCATCAACTTAAGTGTTACATTTACAGTATGATTTCATTATTAGATATGAATGTAACATTTATTTAGACTGTGCTATCCTTTGTGTTAGGCTAACTACTAAATTTTTTCGATTTCGAGTAATCTGCACCTAACCCTATTTTCTCCATATGCCCTGTTATTTCTATTACGCGATTTTCTATAACACGATATTTTACAAGAACACAATTATCGCGTTATAGCAGAACTACCTGTAGATGCACCGCGGAAAGTGAAAGTCCGGTTCTGGCAAGGTACCACGTAAATGAGAAATCGCGTGAAGTGAAACCGTGTAAAGCGGGGTAATACTGTACTTATAAGTGCTAAATACTGAATTTTAGAAATTGTGTATAATACTTGAGTCATAGAACATTATCACAGTACAATTAACTCGCTGGAGAAAGCTTAGGGAAACAACTTTACAAGCCTGCCAGCCCTACTGAAAATGAACGTACTCAACTTAAACAGTACAGTGTTGTGTTTTCATTTTCTTTAAAATTTAAAGAGCCAATTTGTTTGAGCATAATATTACTTTCATTATCAACAAGTTCCATCTTCCCAATAAACTTAACAAATGCTTCAATCTCCCTATAAAACTCTAGACGGCAGACAACAAATTCACAATTATCCCATATATTTTTTAGATCCACAAATACAGGTCCACCACCGATTTTCCGGCACCCTTGGTTCCAAAGCCTTGCCGGATTATCCGTTTTGCGGGACCAACAGAGATCAGGTAATAATAAATCAACAATACACCTCTGACCCACTAATTATACACCTCCTGTGTCTCTAAAGCACCATGGACTGCTAGAAATTTAAATTAAACAAATATTTTATGTAAATTAAATGTGAAAAAGCCAAAATTTTGAGCAACATTACTGTACTGTACACACTTTGTACTCAAATGTACTACACTAGACTAAAATTTTATCTCTTATGCAAACTATATGATGTTCATACTCATATTAATCACTATCTTACAAGGATTCCAGCAATGCAATTAATATTATGCTAACTCTAGTCAGCTACATTTTAAAAGATAAAAACTTTCAGCCTAAAACTACCTTCACCAAGGCTGGGAGGGAGGAAAGTTAAGTGCCCTCTCATAATTTGGTCCAGACTAAAGGAGGTGCCAGGCTATCAGTTCCCTTGAAAATCGGTGGTGTACCTGTGCCATAAGCAAATTCTTTCAATTAACAAACAAAAAATTGTCAAATGCTTAGTTGAACAGCATCCCCTTCAAATTCGCCGGGGTTAGGTTCTCAAAAAGGCCGAGAATCACCAGATCCGCGAATAACATTAGCTGACCAGGGGGAGGGGAGAGGGTACACTTTTACTCGTGTACAAAGAAATGTATTTTGTTTGCCCTTAGCACAATGGATGAGTTGACGGTTCTGGGTAAACACAAGAAATACACTCTGCCACATTCAGAGTGATGCAGTATATATAATTTATAATAAAAGTTTAAAGTCCTGCTTTAATAGTAGAGATAAGTTTATTTCTCTAGAAACAGGGTTGCCATTTGCAATGACATCACCACCTACCCTGCAGACGAAACATGGATGGAGATACGAGTCAATTTAGAAGTACAGTAATGACATTGTCTGGACTTTATTTTGAGAATGCCTGATGCTAGGTAAACATGACAACAAAGTGTTGTTATTGTTTTGATGATTCACTAATGAACCACTAGGATATATCATTTATATTATTAATTAATGGGTAAAATTTTACTTTAACTACCACGAGTATTTGGACGGTTAGATTCAAGATAGGCTATATTGGGTAAATTTTTAGTTTTGGTCATCCCTGTATTTAAAATGCAGACTATGTCTTTTTTCTGATGGTTTGCGATATGTTATGAACGATTTAGGCCTTCATTTCTATCAGAAATTACTAGCTTTGAGTTACTACTCCCTCCCTCCCCACCCTTACCGATCTATGTTAAGCTAACCTTGTAACTCATCATACCCTAACCTAACCTAACATATGGCCTGTATTTTCATATGTGATCGAAATATATTCTGTGACAGAAATCCCATAGAGAAAATTTATCTTATTTTTTAAAGTACTTAGTCCCATAGTTAGAATCTTAAGGTTCCCCAGATGACCAAAACCAAAATAATACCAATATTGTTTGGAATGTTTATATTATGAAATTTGTAGTAGGGGCAGCTAATATCCATTGAATTAGTTAATGTGCTTAGAAATATTTATACTTTTACTTTTATCCTCTTCACCACTTATCGGCTCGTTAGCCGCTTGGGCGATCGGTTACATCTCTGTTACACACTGTTGGCAAGTACTGGGCAAGCACCGGCTCCTGAATGTATATATATATTCAATATAGCATTACTGTGTTGCACAATTAATTATCTAATTATATTTATTTACAGAGCCGCTCAGCCGAGAAGGTTGGACAACTACTTCCAGGGTTCATCAAGGCAGATAAATGAAATTTACCAAAAGTAGATGTCTTTATGATTGTAGAGAACTCTGTCATCCACCTATGAAGCACGTTAAATTACATCTTTCACCCGATCATTCCCTGGCCATGGTCGTCCCTAGTCCTTCCACAACATTAAATTTAGACATCAGTGACGAAAACTTACATTTTCCAGACATGAAATAAAGAACAGTGATGAAAACTTCCATGCTGGAGTCATCGGTCTTTTGCATCATTTTGGCACCCAGCAAGTAAATACACACGATGATAATTGAGCAGTATAATTTATTTTAACCTAAAAATATGCCTGTGTATATCAACATTGTATATGGCAACAAGTCCTGTATTTTTGCTGGTAACAACACACACACCACAACTCGCTGGGCAGCTCGCACCTGTCAGTGACGTCACAACCAATCGCAGAGCTTTTCACAGTCACTTGACTTTTTTGCAACTTTAACCCTTATTTTTTCACACTTTTTGGCCTAATTTATTTAAAAATATCATTACCACAGTGAATTTAAGCATTTTCTTTTTGCATTGACCTGCCATCTCACAAAAAAATTCCAACCGTCAACTCTTCCATTATTTCTTTCACCTGTATTGTATATACTGTACTGTACTGTATGTGTGTGCGTGTGTGTGCATACCTGTATTGTATATACTGTATGTGAGTGTGTGCACACACACACACACACACACAAAATACATACAAATAAATAATAATGGGAAAATCTTGTCACAAATAACCAGAAACAAATTTATTAAAAGTGTGAGTCTACTTCGTGCTTTGTTATTAATAAAGCAAGGAGTAGACTTGAGGGTAGACGGTCACATTTTTAATAAATTTGTTTCTGATTATTTGTGAGAGGATTTTCCCATTATTATTTATTTGTATGTGTTTTGTCTGTGTCTACACACACACATATACAGTATACAATACAGGTAAAGGAAATTACTGTCTCTAGAATGAATGGCTCCTGTCCCGGCCGCGAAAATGACGGCAACTTTAAAATGACTGTACCTGCAGTCATTCTTGGGTACACCCAGGGTGTCATCCGCGAATAATAATCCACGAATAATCTGGGCGTACCTGTACTCAAAAACTAAATCTCTGGGGCAAACTGATATGAGGCAGACAAAAAAACTCAAGTAACAATAAAGTTATTGATTTGGTGAAAAGCAACCCACTGACCATTCACATTCTTTATGAATGTTCGTAAACAACCATAACGAACTGTTGGTGTGATGCGTGTGTGCATTGCAATATCCTTCATTACTCGAAAGTCAGACCGCATTTCATCTGTCAGACCAGTCATGAAGCACAGCTCAGGAATAAGGCACAAGATCTTCGTTGTATCCTTGTGAATGAAAATCATATTAATACACAGTTTGCATATATATATATATACACCTAGACCCCGACTTACGACGGGGTTAGGGACCCAAATCCAGGTCGTAAGTCCGACATGGTCGTAAGTCCGACATAGATAAAAAAAAAAAATTTTCTTTTAATAAAAAATCTACAATGAAATACAGTACAGTAAAAGTAATGAATAATGATGAATGGATACAGTACAGTGAAAGTAATAAATAATAAGGAATGGATACAGTGTGACTGACCACTTAACCTTTAATGTAGTCAGCTGAATGCACATGGGGCCCCCATAATTTTCTAATTATACATGGAGACTACATTAACTGGAAACGTTTCGGTATAGAAAATGCGTGTTATTTAAAAAAAAAAAATTATTATTATTTTTTTATCTATATCTGAGGCGGTCAGAAGTCCCGGAATTAACTGTTGCACTGACCGAAACCAGCTTATTATCAGTCACAGTACAATAATTGGTTTTAAGGCTTAAATTCTTTACTATTTTAGTAAATATCAAGAAGTTTATACTATTCAATAATTTTAAAAGTTTAATATTAACTTTTTTAGTCATTTTAACAATTATTGAACATAATTGAAGGTAAAGAAACTAGTTTCTGGCGTGCCATTCAGCCTGTTAACACACCAGACAGGCGTTAGTCTCTCTCTGTTTTCAGTGGAGGTAACATCTTGCTTGAGACTCTTCAACTAAATGCTTTTTTCTGTGTTTCCAAGCAAATTATTGGTCATTTTGAAATATATTTTACATATTGACAATATATAATGCAGTGCAGTGTTGATTTAAAGAAAATAATCTTGAAATACACCAAGAGAACTAAAATTTTATGGGTGAAATGGTGCCATGGGGTGACTTCTCTTCCACCCCCAATGCCTTCTCTCTTCTCCCTTCCTCCAATCTCCTAAATCCCTATCATCATCATCCAGGAGCCTTCTTACATACACACCTCAAAGTAAGTGAACTTTTCTACCATTTTTGTTGAATTTAGGAAATTTTCGTGAGCTGGAACCACTACCCAAAACCAATTGCCAGGCTGTTTCGGTTAACTAACGACCTTCTGGAACCTGATTGAGTTCGTTAAAACAAGGGGTCACTGTGTATGTATATGTATGTATGTATGTATATATATATATATATATATATATATATATATATATATATATATATATATATATATATATATATATATATATATATATATATATATATATATATATATATATATATATATATATATATATGCAAGTAAATCACTGTAGGTGCAAAGATAATCTAGGTATATGCTGATAACCACAAGGAAGGAAAAAAACACGAAATTCCCAAGCGCTTTCGTGTAATTCACATCTTCAGGGGTGAGTACAGACTAAAGAGAAGTACAAAACAAGGTGTATATATACAGAGGAGGGTGAGACCAGGTCCACAATGGTCAGGTATTAGGTAATGACCCTACTAATCTTTAAATAGCACCGCAACGGTCGGTAGTCAGGTCAGAGGGTAAGGTGACCCAACCTTCTCACCTGGTTACAAATCTTCTTAATTACAAAATTGTCCAGTTTGTACATGCCATTACTCAAATTCATGTTGAATGCTTCGGTATGTTTAATGAGACTAGATTCTATGATGTTCCTACTATCAATTGAATTACAAGGTAATATTGAGGAGGCATTATCCCAGTCAATGCAATGCTTGTTATCCCTCAAATGAACAAACAGAGCATTGGATTCCTGGCCTGTCCTAACACTATATTTATGTTGTTTAAGTCTAGTTACAAGATCTTTACCTGTCTGGCCTAAGTAAAACATATTACATTCCTTGCAAGGAACTTTATAAATGCAACCAATTGTGTTGTTGGGGGAATTCTTGATTAACATTTGTTTAACAGTGCATGAGTTTTTAAATGCCACATTGATGTTCCAGGTTTTTAGTTGTAAAGGAATGTGTGAGAAATTTTTGTGAAATGGTAATATTAAGATATTCTTATGGTCATGGGTGGACTTGGGATCAGTTCTATAAAAAGTTTTCTTAGTTATGTTTAGGCATTTGTCTATAAAGATCTAGGGTATTTTAGGTTTGAGCCAATATTATAGATATATTTATATTCCTCATCAATGAATTCCGGACTGCAAATTCTCAAAGCACGTAAAACCATTGTTGAAAATACTGACTGTTTGACTCTATTATGGAAGGCAGAATAATAATGAATGTATGAACACACATTAGTAGGTTTTCTATAAATACTGAACTTAAAAGTGTTACCTATTCTGTGTATCAGACAGTCTAGGAATGGCAATTTACAGTCTTGCTCTAATTCCACAGTGAATTTGATCGAGGGGGCTAAGTTGTGGCAGGAAAGCTTTTAGGTACTCATTAGGAACATCATAGAATCTAGTCTCATTAAACATACCGAAGCATTCAACATGAATTTGAGTAATGACATGTACAAACTGGACAATTTTGTAATTAAGAAGATTTGTAACCAGGTGAGAAGGTTGGGTCACCTTACCCTCTGACCTGACTACCGACCGTTGCCGTGCTATTTAAAGATTAGTAGGGTCATTACCCAATACCTGACCATTGTGGACCTGATCTCACCTCTTCAGCATATATATATATATATATATAGTATATATATATAGTATATATATATATATATATATATATATATATATATATATATATATGTATATATATATATATATATATATATATATATATATATATATATATATATATATATATATATATATATACAGTGGCCCCTCGGTTAACGAACTCAATCCGTTCCAGAAGGTCGTTCGTTAACCGAAACCATTGTTTCAATGGGTTTTTGGGTAATTGGTTCCAGCTCACCGAAAATTTCCTAAATTCAACAAAAATGGTAGAAAGTTCACTTACTTTGAGGTGTGCATGTAGAAGGCTCCTGGATGATAATGATGATGATGGGATTTAGAATGGGGGTGGAGGAGAAGGAAGAAGAGAAGGCATTGGGGTGGAAGAGAAGTCACCCCGTGGTGCCCTTTCACCCATAAAATTTTAGCTCTCTGGTTTAATTCAAGATTATTTTCTTTAAATCAACGCTGCACTGCATTATATATTGTCAATATATAAAATATATTTCAAAATGACCAATAATTTGCTTGGAAACACAGAAAAAAAGCATTTAGTTGAAGAGAGTCTCAAGCAAGATGTTACCTCCAGTGAAAACAGAGAGAGACTAACTCCTGTTTGCTGTGTTAAGAGGCTGGATGCCACTCATTAAACTAGTCACTTTACCTTCAATTTTGTTCAATAATTGTTAAAATGACTAAAAATTGAATATTAAACTTTTAAAATTATTGAATAGTATAAACTTCTTGATATTTACAAAAATAGTAAGGAATTTAAGCCCTAGAACCGATTAATGTATTGGCGGACTGATACTAAAGCTGGTTGCCCGGTCAGTGCAAGCGAAAATATGTTGAGGTCGGTTCGTAAGAAGTTCGTTAAGCGAATTTTTTTTCGTTAACCGAATTGAAGATCCTTATGGAAGGCAGTTCGTTAATCGAAATTACGTTAACCGAGGTGTTCGTTAAACGAGGGGTCACTGTATATATATATATATATATATATATATATATATATATATATATATATATATATATATATATATATATATATATATATATATATATATATATATATATATATATATATATATATATATATATATATATATATATATATATATATATATATATATATATATATATATATATATATATATATATATATACTGTATATATAAATATATATATATATATATATACTGTACAGTTGGTCCTCACATTACGCGGTTAATGTAGCCCAGAGGGTCCCGCGGAAAGTGAGGAACGCGGAAAGTGAATAACATAACATATGGGATTAATTGAAATGGAGTCCGGGCCGATCCCCAAACTCCACTTTTTGACGACACACAACTATGTTGTAGTAAAAATTTTATCTTAACTTTATGATGGTATGAAAAAACAAGTAATATAGAAGAGGTTAGGTTAGGAAAGATAAAGGTTAACATAGGAAAAATAAAGGTTAGGTTAGAAAACTAAAAATTAGGTGTAACACTTACGGTAGTAGAAGAGATGGGTCGGCATACGGGGATGGAGGCTGGTTCCGAGGCAGAGGGCAGATTACTGGCCCTCAGGTGAATCACCATTACTAGGTGAATCACCATCACTGTCACTTACAGTTGTCAGGGCTTCCCTGACAAATCCCTCAAAGTCATCTTCACTGCCACTATCACTGGCTTGGGCTGGCTGTGGTGGGTTGCGGGCGAAGAAATCTGTTATGCTTTGCTGACGGCTGGCGTTGATGTTGACGTGATACACCTTGATGTACGGCTCCATAGCCTGCACCAGCCGGGTATGGAAGACTTCATAGCGGTCATCGTCATTGTCGCGGGAAAGGAAGGACTGCATCTTCTCTGCACACTCCATGGCACCCTTAATATCACTATGACTTAAATTGTGTTCTTCGGAGAATGACGCACCTTCTTCCTCCTCTTCACTGACGTGTTCTTCTTCCAACATCTCGTCGGCAGTCACTTCAGGATCTCTGATCACCTCCAGGATGTCGTCGTTGGTGGTCTCGGAGAAGCCTGGAACTGTAACAGTCTGCGCAGCTTCTCTGGCAAGGTCCACTGCTACTGCAACATTCTGAACCTCACCAGTCACAGATTGACTCCTCCTCTCACCTGGTATTCCATGCAACACATGTCTCCATGCGTGACGAATTGTAGCAATAGACAGCTGATCCCATGACTCCACCAAGAAGTCCACAGCTTTCTTGATGTTAAATACTCTCCAGAATTGTTTGAAGAGTATTTTTTGCTGTTCTAACTGTTGATCCTCATCTTCTTCGCTCTTGCTATCGGTGGTGGTGTCACTCAGGTTACGCAACTCTTCCCTGGTGTTGGTGTAGTCGTTCAGGACCTGGAA